GGATAGTGGGTAGAAAAGTTCTCTGTTCAGATTTTTTTTGCTTATTTTTTAGTAGGGTTTTTTGTTTTTTTATTGTTGAGTATTGTGTTTGTATTTTTGGACAACAGTCATTTACCAGCTATTGTCTTAGAAATATTTTTTCTCAGTTTGTGGCTTGTCTTCTTATTTTCTTCACTGTATTTTTGCAGAGCAGAAGTATATGATTTTGACTCATTAATTTAGTCAAGCTTATCAATTATTTCTTTATACATTGGGCTTTTGATATTATATGTAAAAATATATTGCCATCCAAGCTCATCTAGGTTTTCTCCTGTTATCTTCTAGGAGTTTTATTGTTTTATGTTCTACACTTAGGTTGATGGTTAGTTTTGGGTAAGATATAAGGTCTGAGTCACATTTCTCTTTTTTTTTCTTTTCTCTTTCTTTTGCTAAAAGACAATTTTTGCTCCATAGTATTACCTTTGCTTTGTCAGTTGACTATGTTTATGTGAATCTATTTCTGTACTCTTTATTCTGTCCCATTGATGTATTTGTTTATTCTTTTGCTAATACTGTACTGTCTTGATTACTACAGCTCTATAGTGAATCTTGAAGTCAGGTAGTGTACGTTCTCTATGTTCTTTTTCAATATTGTGTTGGATATTTTGGGTCTTTGGCTTTACCATATAAACTTTAGATTCACTTTGTCAATATCCACAAATTAACTTAAGATTTTAATTGATATATCATTATAGATCAAGGGGGGAAAAAGTGAGATCTTAAAAATATTGAGTCTTCCTATCCGTGAGTATGGATTATCTCTCCATTTATTTCATTCCCTTATTTATGTGATTTCTTTTATCAGTGGTTTATAGCTTTCCTCATATAGCTCTTGTATATATTTTTCCAGATTTGTACAAGTATTTTATTTTGGGAGTGCTCATGTAAATGGTATCGTGTTTTTAATTTCAAATTCCACTTATTCATTGCTGCTATATAAAAAAGCCATTAGCTTTTATATATTAACTTCGTATCCTACAATCTTGTTATAATCACTTTTTAGTTGTAAGTTTTTTTGTTGAATTTTTTGGATTGTCTCCATAATCATGCCACTTTTGAACAGTGACGATTTTACTCCTCCTTCTTAATCAGTATGCCTTTCATTTCCTTTTCTTGTCCTATTGCATTGCTAAGACTTCCAGTATGTGAAATAAAAGTGGTGAAAGAGAACATCCTTTCTTTGTTCCCAATCTTATTTTTTTTTAAAGATTTTATTTATTTATTTGACAGATAGGGATCACAAGTAGGCAGAGAGGCAGACAGAGAGAAAGGAGGAAGCAGGCTCCCTGCTGAGCAGAGAGCCCCATGTGGGGCTTGATCCCAGGACCCTGGGACCATGACCTGAGCCAAAGGCAGACGTTTTAACTCACTGAGCCACCCAGGTGCCCCTGTTCCCAATCTTAGAGGGAGTTTTCAGTTTTTTTCTTCGTAGAATTTCCTTCATGTTTCTTCTGCTTGGGATTTGCTTTCATCAAATTTAAAAAAATCCTGGGCCACTATTTTAATTTTTCCTTCTCTCCTGTCCTTCAGGGACCTAATTACAGAAAGATGAGGCCACTGAAGTCTTTCCACAGTGTATTGATACACTGTTCTTTTTTTTTTCTTTCAGTATTTTATTTTGGATAATTCCTGTTACTATATTCCAAGTTCACTGATCTCTTTTGCAGTGTTTGATCTACTCTTAATCTTATAAAATTTATTTCCCATCACATTGTTTTTTCCTCTGTAGAAATTGAATATGTCTTTTTATATTCACCATTTCTCTATGTTAATGCTAATGTTTTCTTCTTCCTTCTCAAACACAAGGTTTAAGGTTTTAGTACATTTTTGATATCTTTATCTATTTATTGTATCATCTAATACAATTGTTTGTATCATCTGACAAATAGTTTCTTTTCTTTTCTTTTTCTTCTTCTGTTTTCTTTTTTTTGGTTGAGATTTCCAGCTTATTTGCATGAATTTTAAAAAACAAAGAATGTTTACATATACTTCTGAATAGATTTTGTTCAGTTTAGGGCAATGAAATGTATTATATATATTTTATAAACATTGAAAACTTCAGTATTAAAAATGTGTGCTTCAATTACACAGAAATTACATTTTTTCATGCAATTTTATTCTCTTGGAACAATGAGATACAGTGGACTTTGAAGTTAAATATATTAGACTTCAAAATAGAATTTTACTAAAGTCTTTAGGAAATTAAGCAAGTTATCTTGCCTTCATGAGTTTTGATCATCTCATATGTAAAATTAAGACTCACATATGTACCTCATAGAACACTTAAAACATTAAATTAGATGTTACTTTAAGGCACCTAATATGATGTATAGAACACTGACGTATAGAACTTTTTTAAGTTAAAAAAATTTTTTAATAAAAAATATTGTCCCTTTGGTAGATGTTTATTCTGATGTGTACTGATTCTATACAAATGAGACAATACCCATGCACCTATATGCAATTTGGTGATATATCTAAATACATACATAATTACAATAATTTTATAATATTTTAATAAAATATCAGTAAGTCTATTATTATTACAGCATTCATTATCTCTCCAATCTCATGAACCTAAGACCTTGAGTAAATACATATGGATTCACTTAAAATGCAAAAATTCAATTCTACATGCCTCATTTCTGTAATGTCAGGCAATTGGATATTTACCAATCCAGCTTTTAGACTAAACATTTTTCTCATCTAAATGCTTAACATCATCAGACACAGTCAGAAAAGAGTGCGTATATTTATACAGCGATTTAGACTACAATTTGTTTTCACATAAAAAAGGTTAGAATGGAATAGTTGCAGTTTAAAAGTGAGAGATTTCTTAATGTAGAAGATTGCTTTGGTAGTTAATTTATTTTGCATAATAAGACTGGATGATAAAAGATAAAGTTTAAATAACTTTGAAGATAAAATTCCTAGAGACATTCTCAACTGATATGTAATATTAATTGCTTTGATATATATGACATATCAAAGTGATTTATATACATATACATTTATATACATTATATACATTCAAATTGATTTTATTTAGTCAACCTTAACCTAATAACAAATTAAGTAATGAAATCCAAGAAGAGTATGATAAGGACTTGTAATCAAGTTAGAAAACATGAAATTGACTACAGTGCAAATGTTTATCTTGGCTAATGAAACTATGATAATTAAATGCTGTTACTGATCAGAAATATTTGAACAATTGCTTACATTTTAGAAATGGGTTGGCACATTTCATCAGCTTATGGCTAGATCATTGTAGATAGTTCTTGACTAATTTTCTTTTTATCACACAATTTTATTCTTTAGTAACCAAGAACCAGCCTAATGTCATTTCTAATAAAGAGTGTTATTTAGCTAACTTCGGAACTGTGCCACTTCTGAGAAATTTACATTAAACTCAGATGGTGTTAATTTGGAAAGTCATTTTGGTTTTGGGAATACACTATTTAAAATAGCGTTATTGGGGGCCTGGGTGGCTCAGTAGGTTAAGCCTCTGTCTTTGGCTCAGGTCATGATCTCAGGGGTCCTGGCCCCCACATCTGGCTTTCTGCTCATCAGGGAGCCTGCTTCCTCTCTCTCTCCGCCTGCTGCTCTGCCTACTTGTGAGCTCTCTCTGTCAAATAAGTAAATAAAATCTTTAAAAAATAAAATAAAATAAAATAGCGTTTTCAAGGTAATGGGGATTAAAGAGTACACTTATCATCATGAGCCCTGAGTTATGTATGGAACTGCTGAATCACTCTTGTATAACTGAAACTGAAAAATAGTGTATTATATGTGTATTGAGTGTATATTTAGGGGTAGCATTGCTCAGTCATAGGCATTCATATGTTCAACCTTAGTAGATATTGTCCAGCAAGTTTCCAAAAGAAAAAAAAAAAGTTAGAATTCACTTTGGAAAATTGTTCATTTGTGCTAAAGTTGAACATATTCAACCATTGTGATCTAAAAAAAATCTACACCTGACATTCAAATGTGCATCAGAAGACAGGCAAAGAATATTAATGGAAACATTGTCCAAATTAGCTAAAATCATAAAGAATCCAAATGTCAACATTAGAAGAGGTAAATACAGTGGCATGTTTATATTGGAATACTCCGTGGCAATGAAAAATGCTACACACAAATCACCAGGGGGTCTCACTGATATAATGTTGAGAGAAAGAAACTGGACACAAGATTAAATACTTTATGGTTCAGTTTATAACATGCTCAAAAACAGCAAACTAATCTTAGATACTAAAAGTTAGAATAAATAGCAGTCACTGCGAGGGATAATGGTTAGATTGTAGGTTCTGAGCGGTGGTTAGATTAAGCTGTACATTTAGGAATCGTGTACTTATGCACACCATATTTCAATAAAATATGTTGAAAACTAATAAGCCAGCTGTTGGAAAGAGTTTCCTTATGGGGTGAAAAAAATGGGTCGAGAAAGAAGAGTGGGGAAGGAATTCCATTCTTTGCTCCATCCTTTGTCACTCATTCTCTTTCCTAAATTGAGTGTTGCAATGCCAGGACCTTGCCAGCTCAGCTCCTGAATTCGCAGGTTGGCAACGGTCTGGGGCTCCTCCCGCTCGGAGGCGGGTAAGGATGGAACTATGTAGGGGCGCGAGTGAAAGAGAGGACTCAGATCCCTTCCAATTCCACACATTTCAGTAGGAACTGCAGAACAAGAGCAAAGCTGTGGAAAGAGCAAAGTGCCCGCCGCCCGTCTGCTGTTCCCACGGTCTCAGCTGCGGTTCGCTGGGCAGCGGCAGGAGGACTTCCTCCCGTCCCCGCGAACTGTCGGGCAGGTACTTTTATTAATTCCCGAGGGATAAATCTTTGTTCACAGCAGGACTGTTCTCCGCTAGCTATAAAGGAAAATAAACCACTGAGGATTAGAACAAAGACGCAACTGCTTTGCCTTTTTCTTTTTTAAAATTTGGAGCCAGCAGGCGCCGGTGTGCCCCTTCCAGAAGTGAAGCACCTGAGCGTGGACAGACTTCTCACCAAGGCCCGGTCCTCTTTGGGACGTGGCAGTGTGACTCGCTCTCCCCAGGCAGTAAACTTGCCCCTGTGAGAGGGAAATTGATTAAGCCCAAGTGTGTGGTGCACTTGTCAGGGCACCAGGGCGCATGGAAACTCCAGTGGACTCTCCCGGAAAGGAGAACATGCCCCCCAAGTCTCTTTGCAACCTCTCCGAGACCGCGGAGGAGAATCCGGGAGACTTGGTCCCCGGAGTGTCAGAGAGAGACTTCCTGCCACCCTCCGACGGGACCAGCGCCAAGTTCGCGATCCGCTGCGTGATCCCGTCCCTCTACCTGCTCATCATCACGGTGGGCTTGCTGGGCAACATCATGCTGGTGAAGATCTTTATCACCAACAGCGCCATGAGGAGCGTCCCCAACATCTTCATCTCTAATCTGGCCGCTGGGGACTTGCTGCTGCTGCTCACCTGCGTCCCAGTGGATGCCTCGCGCTACTTCTTTGACGAGTGGATGTTCGGGAAGGTGGGCTGCAAACTGATCCCGGTGATCCAGCTCACCTCCGTGGGGGTTTCCGTGTTCACTCTCACTGCCCTCAGCGCCGACAGGTGAGGACGCAGGTGGTGGTGGTGTGGCCTGGAAAAGAGGTGGAGAGGGGGAGGAGTGCCCCTTGGCGGGGGGGTGGGGGGGTGTTGGAATGGCTGGAGATTGGCAAGGAGAGAAGGAGAGTGTATCTGGGAATTAGAGTAAAAGGAGTTACGCGAACTGAGCTGTGAAGCTTGAAAAAATGTATATAACAAAATTATTACTTTTAAAATAATTAAGATTGCATTAGTTTGAAAGTAGTTTTAAAAGTGCATATCCTGGTCTTCCTCCTCCCCTACACACACTTTGGAAATCTTTATTATCTATTTCGTAGAAAAGCTATAGAATAATTGGGCAATAGTGAAACTACCATGTAGAAGCTTTTCTTGTGTGCCCAAATTAATAACCCGATAGGTAAGAAAGTCTGACTCAATATTAGGGAAATGTTTGATTTTGAGGTTTTTTCAAATATGGGGAAATATCGTTTACAGTTATTAACTAAATCCTGTTATTTATTTGAAGTCAAACAACTACAATAGTTAGTGCTCTTCAGACAGATGACAAACATTTTTGATTTAATACCTCAAGTCAAGTGATTTACCCCCTCACTCCCAACAGGTAGGTACCAAATTTTAGTGTCTTAAAATGGTGCTGTAAAAATAGATTTTTGATATCAAATCTGCTTTTCACATATTTTAATTGTGGGGAAGTGATCATTATTCTACCTTGCAGATCAGCTAAGTTCAATTGTGTCATTCTCTAGGTGAAGATACTGAGGCCCAGGGAATGTAAATTTCACTGGCAGACAGAGAGAAGAATCCAGGTCAGCTGACTCCTGGTTCAGTGCCCCTACCTCAGTCTCTCTATGATCATGCTTTCAGGCATTTAAGCAGGAAGGATGTCTGGATGAGGATGGTGATGAAATGTCCAATTAGGCAACTGTGCGTGGAACCCTGGTCTAATTCCCTTGAGGATAGGATATGGACTTATGTTATTTAGACAAACAATTGGACTTGGATGATTAAGGTGTTTACTCTCCTCTTCTTTAATTTAATCTTGTTATTAATGGAAAATGAGTCCATCTAAATATCCTGGTATTTGCAATAATACCCCTCCATCACTCTGGCATTGAAGGGCTCTTCTTCACTGAAGGAAAGACAATAATCACTGGAGAGTTGAGAGCTCCTGTCTTTTTAAACCAAATATTATTAACTTTTTGGGTTGTGTCATGTTCTTTTTAAAACCACATTCCTATAAAAATAGGTGCCTTCGGGTAAATTATGCACCTCATCTTGCTAATAGGACACCATTTCTATTACCTTTTATGAAGTTTTCTTTGACTCTTATAATTAAAATGTGACTTTTTTCATTTAGGTGCCCTTCCTTATCAGACCTATTTTAATTAGAAAGTTAAAAAAGTTCTACTTAATGATTAGAATAAAACTTAATGAATAGCTATCATTACAATAGTTAAAATTACTATCATTGTGCTTTTATTTCCATAAGTAGCAAGATCCAAGGCTTGAGTACATTTCATGCCATTTTTCTCAACCTATTATCATGGAGACCCACAGGTAAATTGGCTCTGACTGAGCTGAGCTATTCCTCAGGTACTTACTGACTTTTTCAGTTTCTTATGTGTGGCAGGTACTCTGTAAATGAAGCGCAACAACTTATACTAAGGATAATTAAAAGTGGGTCACCTTTTCTACTTGGTCCAGGTTCTACTTTGCCTTTTAGTGCTTGTTTGGGAAATATAAACTAAATAACTGAAATCACTAGTGATGAAATGACCCATACATTCCAATTTTCAATTAAAGTGGTTTGGAAATGTTTTGCTGGATATTGTCTACATGTGTACTTTTCTTCCAGAACATAGTAATCACGTGTTGATAAGTACTTCATCTCCTCATATTTTATTTAAGCAAATGTTTTGATTTCCTGTACAATTTGATTACAAATAGAATACTAATCTCCCTTAGCACTGTACTTTTTGTGTGTGAGTTTATTACCCTCACAATGCTATGAAGTAGGTATTAATATTATTACCATTTTAAACTAAAGAAAACTAAGTCTTGAAATTAAGCAATACTTTCATGATCTGATAATAAGATGAATCTAGCATTTGAGCTCAGTTCAAAGCCCATACTCTTCACATTAAGCCATGTTATTACTTTTCTTTTTTTTTTTTTAAAGATTTTATTTATTTATTTGACAGAGATCACAAGTAGGCAGAGAAGCAGGCAGAGAGAGAGGAGGAAGCAGACTCCCTGCTTGAGCAGAGAGCCTGATGCGGGCTCAATCCCAGGACCCTGAGATCATGACCTGAGCCAAAAGGCAAAGGCTTTAACCCTCTGAGCCACCCAGGGGCCCCTGTTATTGCTTTTCTAATCGTAAGAAATTATTAATGATCTTTCCTACTAATAGTAGGAATAGTTTGAAACAAAGCACCCAAGAGTAAAAAAGGAAAAATGATTGCAAAAGCTGATTTCATTAGATTCAACAAAAGCAACAGAACATCATAAATGTGATTATAAAATAAATGTCTCAAAGTCAAAATTAAAGAGTAGTTGTAGCAACAGGAACATTAAAACAAAGAAAAAACAAAACACACACATACACAAAACTCAAAACCCTGTTAGTAGGGTTTTTAAACAACAAGTTTTAAATTCAATTGTTTGTTAAACCAAATATCCTATTTTCATGAGATGGCTTGAATGTCTGCTTAAGAAAAGAGAGAGAGAGTTTAGAAGTAGAGATCACAGTGAAGTAGAAAAAGGAAGAGGAAGATAATTCTATTTCAGAAAGCATACTGGAATGTGATGTGGACTTCTGTGTTCTAGAGCAGAGACTGACATAAGAAATATAATTCTTATGAATCTACCTTGGGGCCTAAATCACCTTGATCACTAGGGCCAAAGGGTTGTGTGGGTGACACTTTTGGTACTCAAGATTATTATCCTTGGCTTTCCAAACTTTTATGAGAAGTTTCAAGTGATTCATCCTTTGGAAAGTTCCTTTCTGTCCACTGTAGATGTGCCTCAGAGCCATATCACAGCCAGAGTGGGTCAAGGAGATAACAGTGTGATCCAGGAGAGTGAGAGTGGTGACTTTTGTTTAGTTTCTACTTTTATCTTGATGAATTTTTTTGTATTTTGGAAATGTACTTGTTTGCTTGCTCATATTAAATAGTTAATTACAGACACTTGCATAGTCTCTCTGTGGTCTTATATTTTTAACAGTTTTACACACACACACACACACACACTCTCTCACACACTTACATGTGTGCTGTGACACCAAGTAGTTTGAGTTCCATAAACGTACTTTGTTTATGGCTGGCATTGTAGATCTCTCCTTCACTATCTAATACAGTAGCTTCATTTCCAAGCTTAGAATGTAATTTCTTTGATTCTTGAAGACCTTCTGGCCTCTAAAAGGCCCTAATTAAAATGCAAATAGCTTTTAAGAATGAGTTCTTTTTCTTTTACAGGAAAAAATTTTCAGATTCCTAGTGCTGAACTGCAAACTTTATGATTTTATGTATTTACAAATGTAAAACTAGACAATTCTTATTCCTTTTTTACATGTTAACTAAAATGCATTTATAAATTAAATATTAAAAATCTATAAAATAATAAAGGTGAGATTAATATTAATTTAATGTATTGGATTATGTTGTTTTTCTAATATTAAATAGCCAATATTGGATTGAAAGCAAAAGTAATTTTGCACCAAATCTGACTAAAGTGTTAAAATATTCATGATTTCAAACTTCTGTTTGCTTGTTGAAATAATCAGATTTAATACCATAACTGAGCTGGTTCTGTTAGGTATAAACCTTGAATCATTAACATTATTTGGATATTTTACCAATGCAAACAGATATTCTCTTCAGTATAATTATTTGTTAAAATAGTGGAACAGATCAAATGTAGGCTCTGGATCTATACTCCCTAGGCTGTAAGAAACATTTTTAGTGGTCTCAATCCAGTGATGGGGCAGGGGAGGGGGCTGGGGAGTGCGGGGAGGAATGCCATAATCTGTTTGCTGGGACCAAAGTTCAGATACTTATTAACCAGTTGGCTGGCCTGCAGATGCTTTCTCCTTTGGTCTGGAGCCCTGGGTAGCATGTGATCCTTTGGTCTGGAGTCCTGGGTAGCATGTGAGAAGCGCTTTCTTCTCTGCACTGACATTATATATTTCTTAGTGTATTTCTAAACTCTTCTGGAGAGTTCAGATTCCCCACTTGCCCTGATAACCCATTTTATCAGAGTGAGGGCTTTCTTATTGTCAAGTTGTTCCAAAAGAATTTAAGGGAGCTTAAAAATAAAGATAAAAACAACATACAACAGAAATAAAAATGGGAGGACACCCAGGTAGAGGAAAAATAAAAAGTTGAAGACTATATGGTGACTTATACTACCACAAAATGTGAGTCACATGTTTGTCTGCAAGCTTTCTGGCTGCCAATGCAAAAAGGACATTTTTTTTTTTCCATTACAAGTGTTCAATGTTATTTTTATATAGTCATAAAACAGGATAAATTATAACCTGCACTTAATGTATTGTTTTTTAATTTGAATATGTATTTTTTTGTTAAACAAAAGTTGCTATATTGGACTCCAATAAGTCAAATATTTGACTCCAATAAGTCAAATGCTTCTATCTTATGTCCTTTTTCCCTTCTCTTTAGAAACACTCTAAATACCACATTGGAGGTACTGGATAATTTTTACAATATTCACACTATTGCCATAATTTATACATGACTTTATAGTTTTTGAAGATTATTTTGAAGCTATTCATCCACCTTGATCTGAAATGTTTGGGACACGCTATAAATAAGAAGGAACACACCAGGCATGTGGGTGCTAGTCCTACATCTTGTTAGGTTCAAATGTTCTAGTTGGAGAAGATGATAAAATAGTGCAAAACACATGCTCATAATGCAGTTATTTTCTTCATTTGCAAATTAAGAATAATGTCTTCAATGGTAGGGCTGAGGGACTATAGCTAGGAT